ACTGAAGGGACTCCACGTGGTGGTGCGGCAAGCTGTTCACCTACAGCATTGGCATCCCACATGGTGCTGGCCCACCTCCAATCCAGCTCCCTGCTTATGGTCTGGGAAAGCGGCTGAGAATGACCCAAGCCCTTGCACCCCTGTACCCTTGTTGGAAACCTGGAGGAAGCGCCAAGCTCTTGGCTTCAGATCAGCTCAGCTGTGGCCACTGTGAGCATTCTGGGGAGTAAATCAGTGGAGGGAAGATTTTTCTGTCTCTCTTGTCGGTGTAAATCTTCCTTTCAAATAAAAATATATAAATTTAAAAAAAAAAGAATTCAAGTAAGCAGGTCCGTGGATTTTCCAAAACCGACTTGTCCTTTATTGCACGTCAGTCTACAGGAAAGCGAGCGTGTAGTCTGGAGAAGCATCTTCCAACTCTGCTTGGTTAACAAATCACGTAAGGGAGACCGGCCCCGAACGGATTCCACCCTCACGTGGATGGAGACCCACGCATGCTTGTTTCTAACCTTCCCGCTCATTTCGGTGATCCAGTTTGGAGAATGACTTTGCTAAAAGATTAATCTTCCTTTCCATTCCCAGGTAAAAATTCTGAAATTCTAGCCACCCATCCTCATAAAACTCAAATACACTTTATGTCCAATTCTAGAATTAACACGGCCAAGACATTTCAGGAACGTCTTCCTATCCGTCATACTTGCTCAGTTTCCTTGAGAGCTGAAACAATCTGTCTACAACTCTGTTCAAACAATGAGGAGAGAGCCCGGCGTGGTGGCCTAGCGGCTTAAGTCCTCACCTTGAACGCCCCGGGATCCCATATGGGCGCTGGTTCTAGTCCTGGTTAGCTCCACTTCCCATGCAACTCCCTGCTTGTGGACTGGAAAAGCAGTTGAAGACGGCCCAATGTCCCAAGGCCCCTGCACCCACGTGGCAAACCCAGAAAGAAGTTCCTGGTTCCCGGCTTCGGATTGGTGCAGCACCAGCCGTTGCGCTCACTTGGGGAGTGAACCATCGGACGGAAGATCTTCCTGTCTCCTCTCTGTGTATCTGCCTTTCCAATAAAATAAATATATCTTAAAAAAATTACACAGTGGTTGGCGTGAAGAATTATGATTTGTTTATTAAAATTAGACACTACAGAATGCTTAATCATTTGTTTAACTTTAGGTTCCTGATTTACCTGTATGGGATTAAATGCCCCATTTCCTTCTGATTACTATAGTTCAGCCGGTCTAAATACCCTTCCCTGTTAGGAAAGTTCCTCTAGCTTGAGTAGAAATCGAAGTCTTTTACATTGCAGCATTCAAGTTGTGGTTCACAAGAGTGGGAATACTTTTTCATCATTCTGTTAGACCCCTAAGGTAAGTTTATTTTATGGTTATATACACAACTTGGGGATCACCAGATATTAGCAACTCCTTTAGGAATTTCAGAAATTACAGAAAAGCATAAACGAAATAGACGGACTGCGGGTGCTGTGTCGCACCTTTCACATGCTCAGCATTTCTTAGACATTAATCTCCAGGATTTGTATAAACATGCTTTGTAAACCTAACTCAGTCTTGTTTACCAGTTGGTTGGTTTTTACAAGTTCTACATAAATTGTATTTTGGGGCTGGTGTGGTGGCTGATGAAGCTAATGTGCTGCGGCACCAGCATCTTTTACAAGTGCCAGTTCAAGTGCCCGCTGCTCCACTTCCAACCCAGCTTCCTGTTTGTGGCCTGGGAAAGCAGCAGAGGGCCAAAGCCTAGGGACCCTGCAATATGGTGGACCTGAAAGCAGCACTTGGCTCCGAGCTTTGAACTGGCTCAGCTGTGATCCTAGCAGGCCATTTCAAGAATGAACCAGGAGGCAGAGGGTCCCTGCCTCACAGGTAAGAATAAATTCCTCCCCTGCAAAAAATTAGAATTAAAAATCAAACATTCAAGAAATCACAACTTTAATACAAAACTTTTGCATTAATGGTTCTTCACGTATTGGTAAAGCTGCAGAAACAAAAAGGCAGATTTACAGAGAGACAGATCTTCCATCCGCTGGTTCACTCCCCAAGTGACCGCAATGGCCGGAGCTGAGCTGATCTAAAACTGTACTAACGCGAGTCATTGTGAAAACTCCTATCTGCTCACAAACAGCTGCTTTGCTCATGGAAACCTATTCAAACTGCTCACCAACCAGCAAAGATCTAGACAATGAAATCTACCCAATACGGAAGAAGTCAGCTTTCTAAGTGCTTACTTCTGGAATGGAGGCATACGGGCCAGGACCAACAGCGGTGCCCCTCTATCCATCCATACCCACCAACACGACTGTGATCACGGTATCCCTGACATCCTTGGGACGTCAGCTCATTTACTCAGAACCTCTTTAACAAGGAAACCGGCAGTCTGAGAATTAGAATTCTAGCATACTTCCAAACAAAAAATTTCAGTTACAAATCTGTTGAATGTGTTGTCTTGTTCTCATTTTCATTGCAAGTTCTGAAGATGAGCAGAAAATATGATCTGCCAGCGCTTTGTCTTCACATTCCCCAAATGCAGTCACCACCATTTAACTCAGCAACTTGCCTCAACTTGGGCTAGATTACAAGATCCTCATCACCAAGCTCCATGGCTCAAAGCTTCCTTTGTACATGAACCCACAGCGGCAAGTTTAGTTTAATGATGGGGTCCCCATGGGATGAGATTTGCAAGAACCCACACAGGGCACACAGCTCTCATACTCTGGCCTGGGTAGTGGTGTGCAGATTTTAAGTTATGTAATAGGGACCAAAATATTCTTAACAATGCTGAGGTTAACTTGAGGTGCCTTCTCGTAGCTGAAGGCAACAGAGTGGGATTTGGTCTTCCTAGGGGCCGTTACGAATTTGATTTCCTTTCTCTCAGTGTTGAGCAATCAGTTCAAATCCAATCTAGCTCAACTGCTGCTATGCCAAAAGCCACCTCACAGGATCACAGGATTCTCTGTCCAAACCTGCATTATACATTATTTTCTTTTGGTGCGAATTTCTACCAGAGGTAGCACCGAGTAGGAATTCTCTGCTTTAGCCTAAAACTGCTTTCCTTCTGACTGCCACAACCTTTCAGCTCTAACTCCTTGAAGCCATTCATGTCTAGGGAGATCCACCTCTGTACACAGAAAACCAACCTGCTCCCACCGCCACTCGAAGCCAAGCAACACAAAAGCCCCAAAGTGAGCCAGGATTCAGTATTCTCAGCTTCCATTTTTTATCCTCTATTGCAACAGTTCTGCTCTTGGCTTTAGTTATTCACATGGCTGTTACTCCCAGTTATTACCTGGTATAACTGCAGATCACACCCATGGGTCAAATCTCAAAATGAGACCCAACGTTTTGCATCCAAAAATGTAGTTTTCATAAACTTGTCTATATTGAAGCACAGCACAGCAAAGTGCAAATAGGCTATTAACCTCCATTTGTACTTTCTAAATCCTCAAGATGTGCAATTCTTCAAACATGCACATTTGAAAATATTTTGTGTATCTTAACCACATTCTCACTTTGAGATGAAATTCTGGGGTGCCCACATAAACCAGTCATGCAAAACATGTACACAGCTAGATGGCAGAATACAAGCTACTTCCTTCCTTTGGGATTCTAACTACGGCTTAAAAACCCAATGAACAAGTGTACGTTTCCCTCTGTACATGGTTTTTATTATTTACATAATACAATAGAGCATCAATGCTGAACAGCATGATTATGTGCAATACATAAATATGAACTATCTGTACACATCTGTAGATCTAACTCAGAACTAAGGTACATAAAATTGAAAGCAAATCTGAAGGCTTTAATAAAGTAAAAACTAGGACTCAACACTGCAATAAATCAGAAGTAGTGCCTCGTGTACATACTTAACTATTTACAGATGAAAACAGGCATTACCACAACACTAATCTAACTATACTCATTTATATATAAAAAACACAAGTTTCATACAGCACAAAAAAACCTTCCATTATAACACAGAAGTGGTATTACCAGACAAGCATCAGTGAAGTATACTGCCTTTTCTAGTTGTTATTGTACAATGCTGTAGATAATGCAGCCCATGCAATACACCCGAGAACACTAGTCCTACGCCCAGGTAGTTGCTAGGAGAAAGCAGCCCTCTGCAGGTGGTGCTGGGTACCACTAAGACGTCTACTGCAGCCATGGTGGGGAGGGTTCTCCATGCAGAAGGGCAGTTACAGTGACAACTGAAGTCTTGAAGGAAGTTTAAACATTCAACAGAAGATGTACATGAAAAATAACTGTTCAGATACCTTTGCAACTTAAAAATTCAGATGCATGTTACTCGATAGAGCTATTGTATATGAAAGTCAAAAGTTTTATTTTCTTCTTGTAAACAGGTTAATCCTAGTGCAGTTCAGTGCTACACACTTTCAGCAAAGAGAAGAAGGCAGACATCCTATGGTGCCGGCCATTGGTGTCAAAGCTCACCTCAAGACCCTGTTCCTGGCTCAGGTGTGATGTTTACCTTTTATAGAAACCATTTAGTTGACAGCTTTTGGAAGACCAATTTAACCAGGTTACGTCCGGCACCCAATGGGCTTAACAGAAAGCAAACGAGCCTCGGATGTTTTCCTGCTCTCAAAGAACATGTGGAAATTAAGAGGGTGAGGTTGAAGTATGGTAGAAGTAGACTGCCAGTCCTTTTCTGGTGTACCATTTTTCTACAAATATAGGCACACACCACGAGCCAAAAGCTTACGCCTTAATTACATTCCCACAAGGCAGATATGCTGCAAACATGCAGATTTCATAATGTTTGGCACATGGGAACTCCATTTTGTCCATTATCTGTGTGTATCAGTTTACTGAGTCGATTTTCATCCAATTCTAGCCAGGGGAGGGCACACACACTTTGTAGGGCTGTATCTATCCAATTCTGCCTGTAACAAACACCCAAACATCCTAAAATATTAACTATAAGACAGACAAGTGTAAAGTAAAACTCTGGAGAACATCAAAGAAAAATGGCCATGCATCTGCTCTTTAATGTTTTCCTACGATATATTAAAATAAAAACAAACTTTCAGTCTCTTCACAAGTAGTACTCTATATTCTCTGGATTTTCTCAGCCACAACAACTGGATTCTCTTTCCTGATTTTCGCTGCAGCTTCTGCTTTGTAATCGTAAGGGCAGTTGTGCTTGTCAGAGTAACGATGAAGTCCACAAAACAAGTTTCCACATCGGCAGTCGAACCCTGCACAGACAAGAGGGAGCAGTCACTGAGGAACTGTGGCAGCTAAGGGGGGGAGGCAGGCAGCTTCAGACTCTGTAAACAGATTTATCTCATCGTTGTCTTCTGACAGATTAAGTGTTGTTGTCAAAGTTGTTACAAAGAATAATCCATGTGACTAGACAGATTAAAATGGAACCCAATTTCCCCTCATGCCTCAAATCTCTCACTCTTTTTTCCTACCCCATTCTGGAAATTTCCAGACTTTAATATCACTTGGGGATTAGTGCCACAGTGCACCCACAGCCTGTGCCTGTAGTGCCAGCATCCCACATGGACCTTGGTTCATGCCCTGATCCAGCTCCCTGCTAACGCCTCTAGGAAAGCGTGACATGACTCAAGTGCGTGGGTCCCATACTCACCTGGGAGACCCAGAAAGAAGTTCCCGATTAGCCCAGCTCTGGCCACTGTGACAATTCAGGCAGTTCATCAGTGGATGGCAGATTTCTCTGTAGCTCTGCCTTTAGAAGTTACGAAAGGCGCAGAGACATACACAAAGATCTTCCCCCTGCTGCTAGCTCACAACTCAAATACCAGACGTAGCCTAGACGGGCCAAGCCAACGCCAGGAGCCTGGCACCTCTGCTTCTCACAGGAGTGCCAGGGACCCAAGCACCTGTGCCATTAGCTGCTGCCTACCAGGATGTGTTAGCAGGACCACGATCAGGATGTGGGCACCCCAAGCAGCCCCGCGACTGCTGGGTGAAACGCATCAGACCAACTAGTTCCCGAGGGACTGGGCGGTCCCTCTCCACTGGCTGCAGGGCTCTCCAGTACCTGTAAGGCCAACTTTCTTTCTACACATGAAACATCTGTTCTTCTTTGGCTTGGGCAACTCAGGAGCCTTCTCTTCACTCTGAGAAGCACTGGGCTGAGAAACGGATGGACTGGGCTGAGTGACCACTGAAAAGCAAGGGTCAAAGTTAGAAATGTGCAGAGTCCATCGGCTTACGATGTAAAAACAGACAACACTGGACAGATTCTTAGTAAGGATGTTACAGCTTCCCTAACAGGAACTCCATCCTAATACCAGAGCTTTCACTTGGGAATTACTGCCAACTACTATTCCGTGTAAAATACTCATATACCTTTAAAGTCACTCTTAACAGGCAGTACTTGAGAATAAGATTCTAATCTATATTTTTAAAGATATAGAAAGTATTGATAGACCTGCTCAGTTTTTCCATACTAAAATTTTCAAGATGCAAACATGCAAATAAGGACTGCTCAAAGCACTTCATGTCACCTTCTGATGTATTTGATCACAAATCAGTTCTATGGAAAAAGTTGGAGACAAAAATAAGTGAAACTGATACACTGACTATAAAGCCAGGACTACTAAACTAAATCCAGTTTTAGAAATTTTAAGATAATTTGTTATTTTCACAATGGTACCACACTGTCATATGTAGAAAACTTTCTTTTAAAGATTACTTAGCATTCGTTAAGTTTTGATTTTAGACTTTCATGGATTTCCTAGAAGTTTCTTTATAACATTTTTCCTTCTGACAGATTTTGGATATACAGAGAATGATCTACGGAAAGCTATATGCTTCTAAGTAAAAGTGCTTGAATTTATTCCCATCTGTTTTAGTTCATACTTGTGACGTTAGAATCTACCACAGTGAAAATTTATTTCTACTTATGTAATGTTCAATTACACTGCAATCTCAACCCAAACTGTAATGGCAAATTTACATAGGCAGTGCTAAAATTGCCTTAACAATATGCCAGCATCAATGCTATTAACATATATCCAAGCTAACTGGTTTAATACACTAATTCCCAACTGTGCTCAAATTTGCATTAGTATAGCCACAGGCCAACAGCCTAATGTTAGACTAACAAAAAACAAAACAAATTCCACATGCAACTTAGCCTGATTATGGAAGATTAAATTGCTTGGCTACAATGCAGCAAAAGCAGGTACTCAAAATAGATGCCATAACCATTTCCCCCGCCCAGAATAAAGTTTTAGATTTCAGCCACCACTCTATGAAGATACCATGCAGAGAGCGCAGAGGCTTGTGGGAACCTGCTCAGCCAGGTCATTCAGAATGCCTTTTCATGGTGACCTTTCACCCTTCACCTTGCAGTGTTCGTTTTGGAAGACAATGCTAGCACCATACTAACGCTCAAGCGCAAACCTTTCCTGAAACGTCTCAGCACACTCTGCAGACCACATCCTGCTGCAGGAAGATGCCAAGGAACAGGCAGAGACGGGACGGCACTACTGCAGCAGAGTTCCGGCTGGTCTGTACACGCACTTCTTCCACTCGAATGGGGGGAAAACAGACACCCCCTCCCCCACCTCAACCCTTTCTCAACTACCAAGTTCAAAACTTGACCAGAATCAAGCAAAGAGCATACCTGGCTCTGACAGCTCTGCTTTCGGGGTAGTTCTTTTGTCCTCTCTTGAAATGCTCATTTCTGTCATTTGCTGAGTTACTGGCAAAGCAGCCACAGGCACATTTCTATTGAGTTTAAGCAAACAATTATTTCTAAGATGGGAAGGGCACTTCTTTGAGATGAGTTGTCTGTTCACATCATTTTTTCCAGGATGATCAAAAGGAACTAGGATAACCTAGTTTTTTAGATAGTGGCTGGCCAACATTAAGTCGCCGAGAAGCAAGCAAGCAATCGACACACGGCAGGTCAACCAAAGGCTGCACACGTGTATAGGTTAGCATGTTCTAACAAAACAAAGTGGGAATGCTTATAGGAACAGCTTTATCCAAACACCTTGTGAAGTAATAAAGTCTGTGGAGATGCTCTCCACAGTTCCTAACCCTCAGCTACAAGGAAATAAATGCACAGCATTGAAAACAACAGCCCCTCGGAGGGTCAGGGAACAGGGCTTACTGCACATCCTCACTCAGTGGGATCCTGGACTGCGATATCCAGAAGGCCAAGGGCATATCAACAGACAACTTCCCAACTGGTGGACAACACTACATTCTAATGTCTTCACTGCCACGTTCATTCTTACCTTGATTTTTCAGATGTGCTACCAGCAGCACTTTCACAGTTGTTTAAGCTAGCGTCTGCTCTTTGTACAGATGCAGAGTCTGAGGTAGGACTGTTGGAACCACTAGCTGTCCCTGTTTAAAAAGATATGTAAGAATACATCAACACTTCAAAAACAACACCAAGACAAAGTAACAAATATTTGCATTGAGAAGTTCAGTGATTTAAGCACACGCATCATGCTACAATTGTGGATCCAAACCCCCAAAACTTTATAAATGTACATATATATACACACATTGAATACAGGATGAAACAAAACTTGCAAAGAACTGGCAGCACTGAAGACGAGTGTAGACGGCCATGCGCTGAGGCGGGCCTGTCCACCTTCAGGGCTGTCCGCTCTTCTCTGCCTTCCAGCTCTCTTGGCCTCCCCGCACTGTCTTTGCTTGGAAGCAACTTACCCATTGGGCTCATTCTGCCACTATTCTGTTGTCTCTGAAGGTGCTCCTTGTAGCAAACGGAACACATTCCATTTGTCCTAGGATTCCCATAAAAGCCACATCCTGTGCTACACAGCATGGGCCCTGGGGTCTGGTTAGTCTCTTGAGCCATATTTTTCAGCTATAAATAAAACAAAATTTCAGGAATTAGCATGTCACAAAGACTGGAATAATGCAACCACCAGTACACCTGCTACTTCTAAACATCAAGTATCTTTCTAACAAAGGCTCAAACTGTGCCAATACAGTTAAAAAAGAGCAGATCACATGTTCTGCTACCTTTATAAAATGGATTAACAATCAGACGCTATCACTAAATACTCATGTGGTTTCAGTTCTAAAGGTCGCCTAGGTGTGTTAGAGCTGAGTTAGAGTGGAGGAACTGGCATCGTCTCTAAGATGTTTTGCTCCCACACAGCGTATGCAGATCACCTCAAATGACGTGTTTAAGTCACTGGCAAAAAACCAAAAAGACACAAACCCTCTACAATCAACAGTAATTTTTTAAAAAAAATATATTGGTTCTTTAAAGTGGCTGAATACTGCATTCAACCCAGAGGCTTTCTGGAAGCTAAAATCTGAACTTGCTGATCTTATTGGCAAGCCCTTCTGGCTGCTGCCCACTCACCCTCCTCCGAGGCCCTGAGTGTGGGTGCCAGCTGCTTAGGAAAGCCAGGTTCCATTCCCACCAATCTCGGAGTTCTCAGCCTAAGGCTCTACTATTTGTCTTACAACCAGAAGAAAACATTTGCAAGCTCAAATTGGCGGCAGCCGAGCAACATAAATACCTTTACTAACTAAATATTAATGTTATACTACCAGGGAAAACCTACATCAAGTTCACCCTTGCTTTCCCAGAAGTCTGGCTCAAATGAAGAGAAACAGAGTCAACACGAAGTCCTTCCTTCTGGTAAGAGAAACGCCCATTACTCAAGAACTCACAAACAAAAGTAGTGGTTAACTCTTTGCAGTCGGTCATTTTCCAACTACAATTCACTAAAATACAATTAAGCAAGCAAACGGTAATTATCCAAATTCTAAGAGGGAAGGACTGAGTACTCCTCAACTTCAAAATGACAATTTTTCCATTTGTTAAATGATAAGTACCACTGCAGGGCAAGTTGCAGAAAATGTACTGAGTTTACAAAAGTTAAAAAGAGCTCTGAAATGGGCAAGTTTTCCAGAACATGCTTTTCCAAGAACTTTTCTGGAAAGCCACTGAGTTTGTATGGAAAGTGATCAAGAGCCACAGCTTGTTTTGAGCAATGCTAATGTAGGGGACGCTGTCTCTTTAAATAGTAAGTGGAATTTAGCTGACTCATTTTGGAGCAGGGTAGTATAAACATTTCAACATCACTTATTAAGTTTATTAATACACATTTTCAGCCTGGATTTTTAAGTCGCTTCTTGCAGTGACAAGAAAATGAATTTGCATTTCTTTGTCCGGACGCAGCAAAGCGTGCACAAAGTTGGACAGTTCACGCAGCCCAACGGCAGCACTTCCTCAGCACCGCCGGACAAAGCCCTGGGCCGGAACTGCAGGCCAGCCACGGGAAGCACCGCCGCCGTGGACTCGGGCAGGCGAGGCGGACTCGCGATGTCACCCACTGCAGCACCGCAAGCTCCGGCCCCCTTAGTCTTCCCTTCCCGGCCGCGGGACCCCCAAGGGGCCATGGGCTGCCTCCCGTCCCCGCGCACAGCTTGCCGGGATCACATGGGAGGCCTCAGCCTGTCACAAGGTGGCAATGTGACAGCCTCTGAAATCAGCTTCTATTTATACCCTCAGCCCGCGCCGAGGCGGCACTCCTGCGTGCGGGAGCTCGCCACGCACAATGCAGCGCACACGGGGCGCTGCACGCGCGCACGCCCGGGCCAGGACCCGCCGTCGGCGGCCGGGAGCTCGGGGTGGCCCCTGGACACCGAATCACATCGCCGAGGCCTTCTGTTAATATGGGCATGCTCGCTCGGGGCAGCTCTCTGAATAAGGCTGCAACGTGGAATTTCAAAGTTTGTGCCTCCCTTTCATGTAGGGCCTCCCCAAACCCTCTAAAAAACAAGCAGCTAAAAATCCCGGCCCACCCCCACCCGGCCTCGGCCCCGAGCGCTGCAGGACGCGGACACCCGTGGGCCTCGGCCGTGACCTTGGGCCAGTCCCGAGGAGGGCCACCGGGAGCCCCGACCCGCGAGGGAGCATTTCGAGACCCGATTCCGAAGGTACAAGCGCAGCCTGTTCCCCCGGGGCTCCCCCAGCGCGAGGAAGCCCGCACGCCCCCGGCCAGCCCCCGACGGCCGGAACAAAGGGCAGGCGCCCCGCTCCCTCCCCGACCAGGCCTCGCCGCCCCGAAAAGCCCTGAGTCACGCCCGCCGCCGCCCGCCGGCCCCGCGCGACCCCCGCGCCCACACGGCCCCTTTGTGTGCCCCGCACGCCGGGCATTGTTCCCCGCCCGCACCCGGGCCGCGGGCCACGACGCCGACGCGGGACGACGCCTCGGCCTTGGTGCTTCCCGAGGGGGCCCGCCGCCCGCACTGCCCGCCCCGACCCCCGCACGGCTCACCTGGCCGGGCCGCCGCCAGCCGGGGGTCCCAGGGACCCCGAGTGCACAAGCCGGGCCGGGCTCGCTCCCGCGCGCGCGCGCGCACGCACCACCGACTCCGGCGCCGTGCGGCCGGGCCGAGGCCTCTGGGCGAGAGCCGAGCCTTCCGGGTGTTCTAGAAGCCGCCGCCGCCACGGGCCGGGAGCGGGTCGCCGCCGCCGCGGGGGCCGCCTTTGTTCCTGCCGCAGCGCCGAGCGTGGCCGGGACGCCCCGCAGCTCGGGCCGGAGGCGAGGGGGGCAGGGCGGGGAACGAGGCCCGGCCGCGGGCGGACCGGAGCGGGCTGCTCGAGGGGCGCCTCCCCGGGACGAGGCCCGCCGACGGCGCGCGGGGTGCGCGGGGTGGCTCCCGGCCTCCGCCGGCGACGGCGCAGCGCGGCCTCCGGCGGCAGCGAGCCGAGCGGACGAGCGATCGAGGCCCGCGGGCGACGCGCTCTCCGCCGCGCCGACAGGCCGACTGACGGGCTCTCTCCGCCGGCCGCCCGGGCTGTACGGGACGAGGGGCGGGGCCTGTGCGACCGCGCACGCCCGGGCGGCGGCGCGCTGACGTCACGGCGCCGCGGCCTCCAGGCTGTCGCCGCCCCGGCGGCCGCCCCAGGGTGGAGCCGGGCGGACGCGGCCACCGCAGGCCGCGCTGCTATTTTTAGCCCGGTTGTCCTCCTCGCTCAGCCTCCCTCCTTCCGATTTTCTCACTCGAGCCCCGCTTTTGCCATCTCAGTTCTCACGCTTTGTCTTGGTTCCCCTCCGGGCCTGGCAGCTCTTCCCCTCCCCGCCCCTGAGGCGTTCGTTTCCAGAAAAGGAACTGCCTCATGGCTCCCGGGGCTTCTGCCTGCGGAGCCGCCCTCGGCCGGCTGCGCGGTTCCCAAGTCCAGGCCAGGTGGCGCTCGCCCAAGGTCACGGGCGGCCTCCCGTCGGAAAGCCCTGGGGCCGGCGGAGCGCCGCGTGTTGTGTGCGGGCGGTGCTCGGGCGCCCACGCGGCCCACGCGGCCCGAGGCAGGCCGGGCCGGGCAGCAGCGCGGGGCCGGACGGGGAGGAGAGGGCGAGTGAGCCCGAGGCCGGACGCCGAGCTGGCGCTCACCTCCCCAGGGCGCTTCACCTCCACCGACGCCGAGGCAGAAGTGTCTGCAGGGAGTCAGGTTTCTTGCAGCCCCCGTTGGAATGCAGCGAGGCAGCCCCGTGCCTCCCCCAGGGTGCTTACCAGAAAAAAAAAATCACCTCAGGTGATTGCTCAAAGCCACACAACAGTTTTGGATGGTTTGGCAGTGGAACGCCTAAAGTTGTGCCTCAGGTAAAGTTTTATTTATAGTATGGTAGATTGGTGCCCTGTGGCAATGTTGCCAAATCTTGGCCACTGTAAGCCTGGACCAGAACACCGTTTGAGGGATACTGTATATTGCTACTAGAGATGGCGGATAATTTGGTTTATTGGCCCCAGGACTGTTGGTATTTAGCTCTTTAAATTAGTAGAAACACTGGCCACTTAAGTGCTAAGTGCCCCCGCGGGGCAGCACCCCGCCCTGAGCAGCTTACCTGCAGCAGTGGCAGGGCTGGGACCCAGGGAGAGACTGAAACCAAGAATGGTGCTGTTTTTTAAGGGTTCTTTCTGTTGGAGAGGCAGATTTGCAGAGAGAAGGGGAGACAAAGATCTGTTGCGGGGTGCGAGCGAGATCACGCCAGACAAGTCTAAGGTTCATTCAGGAGTCATTATTAACCAAGCTTGGTGATAAGAGGCCCACAAGTCCGTATGGCAATTCAGTCAACCCCAAGAGGAACAAACGGTCATTACCCCGAGTCCATCTGTTAACCTATGTCCCAGCGTGCCCAGGATGTAAGTTATCCTAAGAGACATGCAGCGACTAACCTGGACACCCCACAGAGCTGCAGACATTCACCTTTCCCTGGCTTCTCTGCCCACATTCCACCACCGCTAGGCCTCACCCCTCCTGGAACTCTCCAGAAGTACTCCCGTGAGAAACACAAAGCATCTTAGCATCAGCATCTGCCCAAGCAGTGAACAGAGGGTGAGGAGTACAGACACACAGGGGACATGTTCGGGGCCTACCTGTCCTGAGTCTGTGCCAGGAGAGTGGCGGAGCGGCAGGAGCACACGACCCCGAGAGTGAGGCCCTCCCTGTCATGGCCTTTAGAGAGGCTTGTGAGGGGCGTGGTCACACTCCGGTTCCAGGCAATGATAGGTAAGCTTAACAGGTGGGCAGGAGGGAATGCCTCGTTAGTAGTGGGGGGAGTGGCTTCCAAGCTCATGACCTTGAATTAGCTGCCTACCCTACCACACTTCCATCCACTGGCCCACTCTGTAGGTGGCCACAATGGCAAGAGCCGAACTGACCTGAAGCCAGGAGTTAGGAGCCTCTTCTGGGTCTCCCATGTGAGAGTAGGGTCCCAGGACATTGGGTCATCCCCCACTACTTCCCAGGCCACAAGGGGGGAGCTAGATGGGAAGTGGAGCAGCCAAGACAACCGTGTGGGATCCTGGTGCATGCAGGGTGAGGATTTAACCACTGGGCTACTGTGCCAGGCCAGTGGTGCTAATTTTGAACCTGTACATAGCAAGATTCCCTTCCAACAATTATTTTGTAGTGGTTCTCAAAGTGGTGCAATTGTGATGTTTAAGAAGTGTGCCTGGGCCGGTGCTGTGCCTAGCGCCTAAATTTCTCACCTTGAACACGCCAGGATCCCATTTGGGCGTTGGTTCTAATCCCAGCAACCCTGTTTCCCATCCAGCTCCCTGCTTGTGGCCTGGGAAGGTAGTTGAAGACGGCCCAAAACCTTGGGACCCTGTACCCACGTAGGGGATCTGGAGGGAATTCCTGGCTCCTGGCTTCGGATCGGCTCAGCACCGGCCGTTGCCATCTCTTGGGGAGTGAACCATCGGACAGAAGATCTCTCCTCCTCTCTGTATATCTGACTTTGCAGTAAAAATAAATATATTTTTTAAAAAGTGTGCCTGCTGGGCAGCTCCTTGGCACACAGGGGCGTGCCTTTGGAAGGTCTACAAACTCTCAGGCCCCCGCACTCGGTGCAGTTGGCTTGGACACGTGGTTTATGGAAGAATCCTCCAGGTGTTCGGGATTCCAGGCCACATTTGGAAGCTATTGACCTTCCTTTATCTGCTAAGTAGAGACCACTCGTTCATTCCCAGTGTTCTCACCCTGTGAGGTGAAGTGGGTGAATGTCGTAGCGCTGTGGGTTCGCCCTCTGCTTGGGACACATGCATCCCTGGAGAATGCCTAGGATCAACTTCCTGCTAACGTGCATCCGGGCAGGGGCGGGCAGCAGCTCACCTACCCTCGTGGGAGATACAGGTGGAGATGCTGCTGGTGGCATGGCCCAGTGTGAGCTGTGGCAGACATCTCAAGAGTGGACCCACAGATCTCTGCCACACCCCCCGCCCACCGCATCACTCTGCCTTTCAAGTATATGTCCTGTTTAAAGATTTCTTTACTTACTTGAAAGACAGAGTGGCAGAGGGAGAAACAAACAGTAAACCTTCCAACTGCTGGTTCACTCTCAAGAGGGCTGCAGCAGCCGACACTGGGCCCTGCTGAAACCAGGAGCCAGGAGCTTCATCCGGGCCTCCTACATGGGTGGCAGGGGGTCTGAGAACCGGGCAGGGCAGGCAGCTGGATTCTAAGCGGAGCAGTTCTGACACCAAATTTAAGAATAAGTCTCGGGCCCGGCGCGGTGGCGCAAGTGGTTAAAGGTCCTCGCCTTGCACGCCCGGGATCCCATATGGGCGCCAGTTCTAATCCCGGCAGCCCCGCTTCCCTTCCAGCTCCCTGCCTGTGGCCCGGGAAAGCAGTCGAGGACGGCCCAAAGCTTTGGGAACCTGCACCCACGTGGGAGACCCGGAAGAGGCTCCTGGCTTCGGATCGGCATAGTATCGGCCCGTTGCGCTCACTTGGGGAGTGAATCATCGGACGGAAGATCTTCCTCTCTGTCTCTCCTCTCTGTATATCTGCCTTTCCAATGAAAAAATAATAAAAATAAATCTTAAAAAAAAAAAAAGAAGTCTCGAAGAACGCTTTTGCTTTGTCTTTATTTTCTGCTCTTGTAGATTTTCAGTTGCTCTTTAAACAGACAGAGCACAAAATTCATAGTAGGATGTTACTAATATAAGCTGCAAAGGGAGACCCAGCACGGTGGCCTAGTGCCTAAAGTCCTCACCTTGCATGTCCTGGGATCCCATATGGGTGCTGCTTCTAATCCCAGCAGCCCTACTTCCCAACCAGCTCCCTGCGTGTGGCCTGGGAAAGCAGTTGAGGACGACACAAAGCCTTGGGACCCTGCACCCACATGGGAGATCTGACGGAGGCTCCTGGCTTCAGATTGGCGCAGCACCGGCAGTTGCGGCCAATTGGGGAGTGAATCATTGGATGCAAAATCTTCCTCTCTGTCTCTCTTCTCCTCTCTGTATGTCTGA